CCAAAACCCACAATCATCATCAGTGTTGTCATCCACAACTGACACGACCACCACAACCATTGTCGTCTCCCACCACAACCACTATCGCCTTCAACCATTACCACCGCTCACCTCCAGTATAACCAGTACTTCAATTATTTTTTTCTCTTTTATGTTTATGATTTAATTTTAAATGTAAATNCCACCATTACAATAATCTTTATCCACCACAACCATCATCGTCTCCCACCACAACCACTATCGCCTACAACCATTACCACCGCTCACCTCCAGTATAACCAGTACTTCAATTATTTTTTTCTCTTTTATGTTTATGATTTAATTTTAAATGTAAATACAAATATATTTATGATCGACAATTTTTTTTATTACACCATATTTTTAAGAACAATTAATAACTAATCTTCTACATCCCTGTGCATTCGAAATGACATTCAAGATTAAAGGTAATTAAATATATTATATATACGTATTGGGGAACCTCTAGAAGGCATTTAGCCAATCAACAGCTTTTACCCAATGCCCAAGTGCCGACCTGCACACAGCAAGGAAAGCTTTGCCGGCTGGCAGCCCACAAATGGGGACCCAGCCGGCCGGCAGGCAACTAACCCGAACCCGGGAGCTACCTCGCTACCACCTTTTGCTTGCCCACCTCCACTATACGAGTTCTGCTCAAATACGACTCAACCTACTAATAAGAGTCTTAGTACGATACTATTCTGAATATCTAGGAACCGGTGATAAAACACTAATGAACAAGAGTTCTAGTCTAATACTATCCCGAACTTTGATGGACTCGTGATGAGGTTGATCCTATCATAACCTCAAGTTTGGGTTTATTAGGCACACAACCTCCGACTACTATAAATAAAGGCCTCCAGGACCAAGTAAGGGCATTCAATTATAACATATTCACTCCGTACTCTTCTTCGACCCTAGTATCGGTACGAGGTGGTGATTCTATGGTTCAATAAATTTAGGATGTATGGACAGAAGGCCACCACCTTGCAATTAATGGGTTCATGTGGCCATTTAAACATACAATTGCATCAGATATCTCTGATGAAGTTATTACTCTTAAAGGAACAGAGCTAGAATATTTTGTCTTCAAGGCCGAAAATATTCTCCAGATATAACCTCTCGGTAACTACGTTCAGCCTGACTACTTCTCTCATCTACAGCAGTGAAGTCAATGCAATTGTACATTAGAGCTACCTCCTTTTCTCTCGTTTTCTCTTATTCTAACAACAAACCATAACAGTATGTTTGATTACTTTTTTCCTCAGGAATTGCCTATGATAGTTTGAAAAACAGATTGTGCATCCAACAGAAGAGGCTTGCTACTTGCTTAGTTGGACATTCCAAGGATTTCGAGCAGCATGTTAAGTATGAAAGACATTTTCATCAAGGAGTCTCGGAAGCAATTGCTTTTGCGCTTGCTCGAGCTATTAAGGTATGATATTACGTTATTAAGGTATGAAATTCTGTTTTTCAGCTGGACAGAAAAGTTGACACTTTCCGCAGGATCTGATTTCTTAGAGAAGTGATTCAATCTGATGTGACATATAAGAATTCAACGCTGAAGCTAGCCATAACTACTATCTAGACTCTGGTATTATCCCATAAACTTTATGAATACAACTTATCAACTGAACATGAAAATGTTCCGGGCCGCCTTTTCTTCTCCTAGTACTAATAATCAACAAATTTGTAATATACTTATGTCGTCACACTAAGAAGCTAAAGCCAATCCAGACAGACCTTCAAAAAATGGAAGTGTTCCAGAAATTAACAACATTCGTTACTTTCATTCTAAACACAGATTCAGTAAATCTTGTCCACTGTTCAACCCATCATTTTGAAAGTTCACAATTGAACCATTTTTGTCTAATTTTTCACTTCTGCTAAAGAAGGATACGTCAATAATATAAAGTACATCTTTCTAAATCATCAAATGGTTAATAGAAGAGAACAACAAAACAAAAGCCTACATCAATGCAAAGAAGAGTTTGCTGAAACGAATGCGAAAAAATGAATACTCGCTCTGTTACGATTAGGCAATATTTATAACACCCAAAAACCCTTATTTTTTGATTGGATAGTTTACCAATTCCTGGTGAGGTCAGATTTCCAATAAAAGTTAGTTTTCTATCAGAAGCTCTCCATTAAGTGGACTAAGGCTCATGATAATTTTCAACTAAATTTAACAGGTTTTATGTCAGACTGGGCATGAATACGAACAGAATACAAAAATCCAAAGTCAATGGCCACAAAAGGCAAGGGTAGCCTCAGAACAAAGATCACCAACAAAATGATGAGACATTTTAATGGCTGATTATTTCAAGGAAGAGAAATGGAGGTCCCAGATGTTTCACCCTTATTCTCAGAAGCCTCAGCTTGTATCATGCTCTAAGCTTTGAGCTTTTTCAATGTCCCAATGGAATGTGGCCATCTACAACTCATCAAATTAAGTTTTAAGGAAGCAAAACCACCCTGGGAGACCAAGATCATCGCCAAATATGGATGCAACTGCAGCTAAGCATAGGATTAACATTAAATATTTGCTTAAAGGCTGTAAGAGGGAAGCTCATAGGATGCTGGTGCAAAACTTCAACAATGTCTTCCAGAGAATTGGCTCTGTTCTCTACTCAGGAGTTTAAGGCAATCTAAATTAGTAATTGAAATATTTTTGTAACTAGTGTCAACACTAAATTTCCAAGATTAAAAAAAAAATGTGGCCATGGTCTTCTCCAAATATGGAAGCAACTGCAGCTAAGCATAGGATTAACTTTAAATATTTGCTTAAAGGCTGTAAGAGGGAAGCTCATAGGGTGCTGGAGCAAAACTTCAACAATGTCTTCCAGAGAATTGGCTCTGTTCTCTACTCAGGAGTTTAAGGCAATCTAAATTAGTAATTGTAATGTTTTTGCAACACTAAATTTCCAAGATTAAAAAAAAATGTGGCCATGGTCTTCCCCAANTTCCAGGGAATTGGCTCTGTTCTCTACTCAGGAGTTTAAGGCAATCTAAATTAGTAATTGTAATGTTTTTGCAACACTAAATTTCCAAGATTAAAAAAAAATGTGGCCATGGTCTTCCCCAAAAATAACCACCAGTGCCATCACCATTTCATCACTGGGCTGATGTCCACCCTTGCTCATCACCATTTAAATCAAGATAGTTAGATATAAACCCATTGCCAACCACAACCCAACTTATAATGCACTCCANTTTCATCACTGGGCTGATGTCCACCCTTGCTCATCACCATTTAAATCAAGATAGTTAGATATAAACCCATTGCCAACCACAACCCAACTTATAATGCACTCCAAACCATCTGACACCCACAACTCACCACTCAATCTCTGTGTCCATGTGCAGGATTCCTATTGCAATCTCTTCCCACACTTTACCAGCCACAATCTCTCACAGGGATTCTCTTCCCTATCCATAATACATGAAATAAGGATGCACAGTTTGATGTGGGTNACTTTACCAGCCACAATCTCTCACAGGGATTCTCTTCCCTATCCATAATACATGAAATAAGGATGCACAGTTTGATGTGGGTTCTCCTTGATGAGAGTATGGTTCGATCAACCTCTCTCTCATAAACCTCCTTATTATAATCCTTTTTTTCTTTTAGTTTCTTTTTCCACTTGAATCAACCATTTGGCCACAATTTCACCATAGACAAGAGCTTATAGTATATGGTTAAGAAATGGAAGACAAATCTGACAAGGCATAAAAGATATTAAGCAGAATTTATGCAACAATTTAAATTTACCTTTTCTAAGGGAGCCTAAAAAATAATAGGCCCGCGTCAATCATCAAAGGATGCAATACCATATCAAAGTTTAATTATCACAATATGTGGAAAAAGGACTTTATGTATCTTAAGGCAGGGGTAGTTGACATTCAAGATTAGACAAAACAATAGGAATTTTACTATTTCGCAAGTTCAATAAATTTAGGGTGTGTTGCAACTGCTGGGGTTCATGTGGCCAGTGGAACAAAACTGCATCAGATATTATCAATGAAGTGATTCCTCTAAAAGGAACAGAGCTAGAATATTTGGACTTTAAGGCTGAAAAAGTTCTAAAGTTTTCCAGATAGACACTCTCATCTAGAGCGAAGTCAATGCAATTGTACATTAGGGTAATCTCATTTGCTCTAATTCTAACAAACCAGAACTGTATATTTGATAACTTTTCTCCTCAACAATCGCCTTTGATATTTTGTATAGAAGATTGTGCATCAAACAATAGAGGCCTGCTACCTTGAAAAATTGGGCATTAGAAGTCTTTCTTCCAAATTTAGATCACTAAGCATCCATCGAGGAACCTGCATAAGTTTAAACAAGAGATATCCTCTAATTTATCGGTTGATATTCACCATTCCTTCTCTAATGGCTTACAAAAAGTGTATAGTGTACATTTAAAGGACATAATCACGCTCATTAATTGTCTTATATTTTTAAGAAACACAATATTATTGGATTCCTCGACCCCAAGCAAAACATAACTGCGTGTTTTATTTTTAATTATTAAGTAACCATTTGACAAAGGAGGATAAAAGTATGAAAGGCGTTTTCATCAAGGCGTCTCAGGCCTTTAGCTTTCTATGAATAGGCAATCCATGTAACCCCACTCAGCTAATTGACCCTAAAATCAGCTTACAAGAATGTACTACAAGGAGATAACAATTAGAATATGATATGTAGGACTTAGAGAAGTGATTCAATCTGATGCAACATACAAGAATTCAACGCTGAAGCTAGCCATAACTACTATCTAGACTCTGTTATTATCCCCTACTATAAAAATACAAATTTCACTATGAAATATTTTTATTAACTGACCATGAAAATGATCCGGGCCTTCTTATCTTCTCCTAGCATTAATAATCAACAAATTTGTAATACACTTGTGTCTTCACACTAAGAAGCTAACCGAGTTACTTAGCCAATCTAACAGACATTCAAAAAAATGAAATTTCCTTCATACATCAGACAACCCCAAACATGTAATTTTGACATTGTGGATAGCAAAAAAAACCTTATGCTGCCATTGAATCATAAAAGAAGATCAATAAATCTTCGAAAAATCAAACAAACAACTAAGCATTGACATAATTGTATTATTGCCAGAAAATATCTACAGATGCTTAAGGTCATCAAAAAATGTTTAGTTACCTATCTCAAAATTGTTAAGCAGCAAAGTGATTTCTGCCAAATCTCCGATTCTTCAACAAGCAACCGCTAGTGCTGTTGCACTTGAGCCTAACTACCTGGGTCCATAGGATGATCTGATGTATCAAACTCTCTTGCTCTCGTGGCCAAAACACTTCTTATTTCGGACGCCTTCTTCTCAATAGAACTCTCTTCCAAACTAGCATCCCTATAAAACTGAGAGTTCTGATCATGCAATGAATAATCACCCAATTCATCACACAAAGCCGAGTAATCTTCCCTCATAAGCAGCACATTATGAAGTATAGAACAGGCACCAATATAAGCCACTGCAGTCTTAAACTCCACCTCAATCGGCCTACTCAAAACACCCCACTTCTTCAAGCTAGCAATGGTTTTGATCGCCGGAAGGCGCATCAAATGATGAGCATTATTGAAATTCTCTTCAAATGAGCCAGCCTTCGGATCCACAAATGGAACAACTAACCAAGGAAGTAAAGGGTAACCACCATCACCAACCAAATACTGAGGTATATCCACACCATCAACACATATTGGCTCCGAATTCAATACCATCCCTCCTTGAATATCTTTATACAATGTAGATGACTTCAGAATCCGTGAATCGCCCTTGTCACCGCGAAAACCAGCAATTATACTTAGAATTCTCGAAGATGAATCGACTATAATTTGAGCAGCTATACTTTCTTCTTGAAACTTATCCTCGGAAATTGACTTAGACCCATCATATCTAATGACACTAAACCTAGCGCAATCGATAATTCCACAGCAATTGGGCATGCCGGTGAGGTTTTCAAACTGAGTTGACACGGTTTCCAGCTCGTTTGGGCTTGGAAAACCGACCCAGAACCTGAAATTAGTGCAAAGTACACGGCACAATTGCTTAACACAGAATTTAGTGATAGATTCAGAGACCTGAAATCGGCTAGAGATTTCCGGGAAATCGGCGCCAGTTGCAAGTCGGAAAAGGCCAATACCGAGTCGGGTTTCGGCCGAGAGGTTGAGGGGCGAGTCAATCGGGTCACGACACTCTAGCAGAGGTTCCAGAAGACCAGAGAGCCACTCGAAGGTCGAAGAGGTCATTTTGAAGCATAACTTGAACGAATCAGGGTTTTGTGGCATAACTGAGTGGACTCGGTCGAGTTCATCGACTCCCGCTCCGGCGCCGTTGTCTTCGTCGGTGGAATCGGATTCTGAGAAATGGGTACGCTTCCGTTTTCTGGGAACGGAGAGGAAAGAGAAAGTAGTGGCGATTTCTGCGGTGGAAAGAAAACAGTGAATGAGTGGGAAAAGGTTTCCGCAGAAACTGGAAGTGGAAGTGGAAGAGGAATCAGCGATGGAAAAGGGATTTGAGGAAGGAAAAAGAAGAAGAATGAGAAGAAGTTCAGAGATTAGCGTAGAGAGTAAAGCTGACAATTCCCGAGAATTCATTTTCTCTCTCTTCTCTTTGCTTTTTGTCGGGAATCGGACTTTGATTTCCGAGAAAAATCAAGGAATTTGGGAATTTGATTTGTCTGGACGAGACACAGAAATTACACCTGGCGTTTGTGTTCTTTTGGAAGGTTCTCTGAGTGCACGTGACTGAATAGAGAACCATTTTGGAATCTGAATCGTACACGTGGCAGAGTTAGGGATGATCAGGTCATGGGCCAAAAACTAATCCGGCAAATATTTGAAGGGCGACTTTTTTGGCCATATAGCAAGTATCTATAAAGTACAGATTTTTCGGTAAAATCTACGTTCTAATATTGTATTGAATATAATATTCGTCAAATATTAGATAATACGTATCGAATATATATTATTCGTATTTAATAATTAATAAAATATATGGATATTTTACAGATACTCCTAAACATAAAATAAAATGTATAATTTTTAATTTTAAGTTATACTCCTTCTTTTGGAATTTATATAAAATATAAAATATCAACAAAATTCAATTTGATTTTGAAGATACGATTGTTTTTTAAATATTATCTATTATTAAATGTTAAGAGAGTATAAAAAAAATGAGTCACTTACACAATACTTTTAAAAATAAATATTTGTAAAATCAACTAGTTAAATGTGATTATGCTCATTTTATGAACATATCATAATGAGACGATATTACATCTTTTTCATGGTAAAAATTTATAATTTTATTTACTAATGTTAAAAAATTATTGAAAAATTATAATTTTTAAGTCGTTAAATAATATTAAAATATAAAATATATTCTATTATAGACGTATCTTGACCGTACTCATATCTTATTTTTTAAGTTTTATCGTATCGCTGTATACGTATCGTATCGTACCCATGTCACGTATCTGTATCAGTGTTTTCCTAGCGAATATAGGGAATAAAAAAAATGGACAAATTACACTTTCACCGCTCGACTATGATCTTTTTTCACATATCTCATCAACTATCATATTTTTTACATTACCCTCAAACTATGTGATTTGTTGTACTTTCCCCCAACACATTAGTAATTTTTATCCAAAAATATAGCGTACATATATGCCTTTTGGGCAATGTGAAATAAATCAAATAGTTAAGAGAGCAATATGAAAAATTTAACAGTTCAAGGAGTAAAATGAAATTGAGTCTATAGTTTAAGAGGTTAGAGTGTAATTTGCTATAAAAAAGAAAAAAGAAAAATGTGATAAATTAATTTTGAATTTTGTGTGTGTTCGAAATTCGGATTCACATTCTGACCCCCTTCAAAGTTCCAATTGGTAATTCTCACTTAAGCTTGTATTCTCTTCAATATTCGAACCTAAACAACGTTAAATCTAAGGGGTGAGTACAATTAACTCATAGACAAACTTACCTACAAATACAAGAGATTTAAATCTTACTTTCCAAATTGATTATGTAAACCATGAACAATAGTTTTCCGTTTTCACAATTCTTAAAGCAAATAGAATTTCAATAAAGCATGAATGAGATCGNTGAAATCGGCTAGAGATTTCCGGGAAATCGGCGCCAGTTGCAAGTCGGAAAAGGCCAATACCGAGTCGGGTTTCGGCCGAGAGGTTGAGGGGCGAGTCAACCGGGTCACGACACTCTAGCAGAGGTTCCAGAAGACCAGAGAGCCACTCGAAGGTCGAAGAGGTCATTTTGAAGCATAACTTGAACGAATCAGGGTTTTGTGGCATAACTGAGTGGACTCGGTCGAGTTCATCGACTCCCGCTCCGGCGCCGTTGTCTTCGTCGGTGGAATCGGATTCTGAGAAATGGGTACGCTTCCGTTTTCTGGGAACGGAGAGGAAAGAGAAAGTAGTGGCGATTTCTGCGGTGGAAAGAAAACAGTGAATGAGTGGGAAAAGGTTTCCGCAGAAACTGGAAGTGGAAGTGGAAGAGGAATCAGCGATGGAAAAGGGATTTGAGGAAGGAAAAAGAAGAAGAATGAGAAGAAGTTCAGAGATTAGCGTAGAGAGTAAAGCTGACAATTCCCGAGAATTCATTTTCTCTCTCTTCTCTATGCTTTTTGTCGGGAATCGGACTTTGATTTCCGAGAAAAATCAAGGGATTTGGGATTTTGATTTGTCTGGACGAGACACAGAAATTACACCTGGCGTTTGTGTTCTTTTGGAAGGTTCTCTGAGTGCACGTGACTGAATAGAGAACCATTTTGGAATCTGAATCGTACACGTGGCAGAGTTAGGGATGATCATGGTCATGGGCCAAAAACTAATCCGGCAAAAATTTGAAGGGCGACTTTTTTGGCCATATAGCGAGTATCTATAAAGTACAGATTTTTCGGTAAAATCTACGTACTAATATTGTATTGAATATAATATTCGTCAGATATTAGATAATACGTATCGAATATATATTATTCGTATTTAAAAATTAATAAAATATATGAATATTTTACAGATACTCCTAAACATAAAAAAAAATGTATAATTTTTAATTTTAAGTTATACTCCTTCTTTTGGAATTTATATACAATATAAAATATCAACAAAATTCAATTTGATTTTGAAGGTACGAGTGTTTTTTAAGTATTATCTATTATTAAATGTTAAGAGAGTATAAAAAAAATGAGTCACTTACACAATACTTTTAAAAATAAATATTTATAAAATCAACTAGTTAAATGTGATTATGCTCATTTTATGAACATATCATAATGAGACGATATTATATTTTTTTCATGGTAAAAATTTATAATTTTATNAATATAATAATATTTTCACATGTTTATGTCTTATATAAAGTTCTAAAATATAATAAATTTTTTTTAAAAAAATCAAAAATTAATGATATCTAACATTAAAAGTAACAATCTTTTTTAAATTCTTGTCATTATTTTTTCCTCCACTCTCATCATCTCTCTCCAACTTTTTTTGCCCCTCTCACTCTCGTTACCTTGTTCTGATTCTTTTTACTTATCTCTTACTCTCTGATAATCTCTTTAAGATTTCATTCAATATANTTATTGAAAAATTATAATTTCTAAGTCGTTAAATAATAGTAAAATATAAAATATATTCTATTATAGACGTATCTTGACCGTACTCGTATCTTGTTTTTTAAGTTTTGTCGTATCGCTGTATACGTATCATATTGTACCCATGTCACGTATCTGTATCAGTGTTTTCCTAGCGAATATAGGGANTTTACTTATCTCTTACTCTCTGATAATCTCTTTAAGATTTCATTCAATATTATCTTCAGTAATATCCTGACTTCACAATTGCACCTAATTTATTATTTTGATTTCTTTCAATCTCAAAACTACTAAAACATAAAAAATAAATCATACCACAACTCTAATAATCGTAAAAAAAAATTTATTAACTTCTTAAAATATTAAATGTGGTTTCATGTAAAATTCTCACTTTAGGCTCCAATTTGTGTTAGGCCACCCTTGATTCATCTACATATAGCATAACTTGGTTGTATAATGAAAGAGAAAGTCAATGAGATCCACCTTACTTATTTATTGTATTCTAATTAGATGGTGACACCATCTGACAGTAATGACATGGTGNAGTAAAATGAAATTGAGTCTATAGTTTAAGAGGTTAGAGTGTAATTTGCTATAAAAAGAAAAAAGAAAAATGTGATAAATTAATTTTGAATTTTGTGTGTGTTCGAAATTCGGGTTCACATTCTGACCCCCTTCAAAGTTCCAATTGGTAATTCTCACTTAAGCTTGTATTCTCTTCAATATTCGAACCTAAACAATGTTAAATCTAAGGGGTGAGTACAATTAACTCATAGACAAACTTACCTACAAATACAAGAGATTTAATTCTTACTTTCCAAATTGATTATGTAAACCATGAACAATAGTTTTCAGTTTTCACAATTCTTAAAGCAAATAAAATTTCAATAAAGCATGAATGAGATCGCCAAGAAATAGTATCAATTAGATATTATTCAAGATTTATGATTTTACGAACCAAAAACACATATCTAATGTAAATCATGTATTTTTTCAACAAAACGAATCATGTTATTTACAAGAAATCAAAACAGTTGTAGATCTATAGTATATATATGAATCATGCTTGATCGTATAGTTTTTTGTGTGATTTCCCATGCATAGATCTCATTTCGTTCTAACTCGATCTATTATTTTTTCTCTCATTTCTTCTCTTTTCAAGTCACACTTAGGTTTTCTAGGGTTGGGATGTGCAAATAAAACCCTAAAAATGATCCCTATGAAATTTATAGTGTCAAAAATCAGTCTAACTTCGCATGTGCGTCTGGACGATAGCAACTCTCTATCCAAAATTTTTAATTTGTGTCCGGATATACTTTTTTCATTTAGACGCAAGTAACTCTGTGCTCAAATTTTCAATCGAATTCGACCTAGTTAGAGGTCAATTCATGAAATTTTCATGCAATACATTTTTGTATATCTTGACGTCATCTTTCCAATGCCACAAGAATCAGCTCAATCGAACATTAAAATAAAAAATTATGATCAAAATATTGAAATAATATTGAATTCTTTCCAAAATGTGTTTCTAAAACATCTCTAAACTTATTTTCTTCAACTTCATACCTCAAAATATAATAATATTTTCACATGTTTATGTCTTATATAAAGTTCTAAAATATAATAAATATCTAACATTAAAAGTAACAATCTTTTTTAAATTCTTGTCATTATTTTTTCCTCCACTCTCATCACCTCTCTCCAACTTTTTTTGCCCCTCCCACTCTCGTTACCTTGTTCTGATTCTTTTTACTTATCTCTTACTCTCTGATAATCTCTTTAAGATTTCATTCAATATTATCTTCAGTAATATCCTGACTTCACAATTGCACCTAATTTATTATTTTGATTTCTTTCAATCTCAAAACTACTAAAACATAAAAAATAAATCATACCATAACTCTAATAATCGTAAAAAAAAATTTATTAACTTCTTAAAATATTAAATGTGGTTTCATGTAAAATTCTCACTTTAGGCTCCAATTTGTGTTAGGCCACCCTTGATTCATCTACATATAGCATAACTTGGTTGTATAATGAAAGAGAAAGTCAATGAGATCCACCTTACTTATTTATTGTATTCTAATTAGATGGTGACACCATCTGACAGTAATGACATGGTGTAACTATTGCAATGAATATTTTCTCCTAATTAGGGCATGATATGAAAATTACATTCACCTTCCTTACTTTTTTGCTAACACAATTTTATGGATAAATTATACTTTGNTGTAACTATTGCAATGAATATTTTCTCCTAATTAGGGCATGATATGAAAATTACATTGACCTTCCTTACTTTTTTGCTAACACAATTTTATGGATAAATTATACTTTTACCCTTAAACTATGAATTAAATTTTAATTTATACTTTCAACTATTAAATTTTTGTGAAAATTTGTCAAAAGTCTAGGAGATGCTCTTTGAAGCCAATAAATAAAAGTAATGTACTTTTAAGGCATTAAATATATATCATGTGTTTATTTTATCACCTAGTTCAATATAATTGAATTATTCTATTTTAATTACAAAAATACCCTTAGAGANCATTAAATATATATCATGTGTTTATTTTATCACCTAGTTCAATATAATTGAATTATTTTATTTTAATTACAAAAATACCCTTAGGGGTGGATATGGTAGCTTTGACCTTTAAAAGAATTGATGTATTTCATTTGTCTATGTTGAAGTAAAATTAGAGCTAGAAGACGATTCACCAGACGACAATTGAAACTGGTCACATGATGAGGTATCTCTACCATATGCCTCGAAGATTCAAGATCAACAATGCAACGACAAATTGTGCTTGACGGCTGGAAGCTCTACATGGGTGTGATTTTGAGTACTTAACTATAGGGTTGCGGGGTATTTTATTAAATTGTCAAACACATCGAATAAAACATTCATTGTCCACCCCCTTTAGTGTAAACCCATCTAATGGTAATAAATGTTCATTTTTTAAAAAAAAGCATATATATCATGATGCATCCGTTTTGACATCATAACAATCTTATATAGAATAGCATACAATTTCTTATTCAATGTACGGGATTTCTATTTGATGATACACGAAAAGAATTTTAACTAAGTACGAGCTTGAGAAGTGAGGTTAGACAAGAAGGTCAGATAAGGAGCCTAGAGTTCATAGGCCCAAGTCTCGAGCTCCTCTCGGGTGAAAGAACAGAAGGGGTGAGAAGAGAACAACTGGTTAACAAGAGACATCCACAAGATAGCAAGAGGACATAAATTATGGCATGAAACTCTCAACCACCCGAGATCTCCTCCAAAAATCAAGAAAAATCCCACGAATGAAGGGCTAGGATCTCACTGAAGATCCCTTAGAACCAATAACTGGACTATAAATAGTAAACACCAGAGGAAGAAAAAGATATATAAAACACTTTGTAATTTACTACGGTGGTGAATACAGATTCAAGCAGCAAGAGACTTTATTCNTGCAACGACAAATTGTGCTTGACGGCTGGAAGCTCTACATGGGTGTGATTTTGAGTACTTAACTATAGGGTTGCGGGGTATTTTATTAAATTGTCAAACACATCGAATAAAACATTCATTGTCCACCCCCTTTAGTGTAAACCCATCTAATGGTAATAAATGTTCATTTTTTTAAAAAAATCATATATATCATGATGCATCCGTTTTGACATCATAACAATCTTATATAGAATAGCATACAATTTCTTATTCAATGTACGGAATTTCTATTTGATGATACACGAAAAGAATTTTAACTAAGTACGAGCTTGAGAAGTGAGGTTAGACAAGAAGGTCAGATAAGGAGCCTAGAGTTCATAGGCCCAAGTCTCGAGCTCCTCTCGGGTGAAAGAACAG